AACAATAGCCACCATCATAACACATCGCTCACTATCCTTTCCTCGAAAACTCTGCCAATTTCCCCCAATTTCTACTTCAACTTCAATACCAACTTTTTCCCATAATTTTACCATCCCAGTTAACTGAAAGAGGATGGAGGCTGCATGCAAGAACCACAATCATAATCCCTGCTTCCCTCTCTCTCTCTCTTTTGATATCATAAATAAACATTTCATGTTAAATAGATAAACTGAACAACAGACGTCGATGATACTCCCCTTGCTTTTTCATCAAATATCAGCCCGATTCTTCGAGCTCCCAAGAGTGAGTTCGAGCTCATCAGACCCACAATCCTCGTGTATCCTCTCCCCCTCCCATGCCTTCACCAAACTTCCACCAGGGACTTCACCATTACTGCTGCTCCCAAACGCAAATTCATCGGACGCACAATCCATCATATGAACATCGCCTCGGCGGGGTCCCCGCGGGCATAACGGGCGCGAACACATCCCACTCTGTCCCTGTGGTCCACATCTCGGAAGATCCCTTCACTCGTGATCCCTCCCTTGAAAAAGCCCCAAATTGGTTCGGTGAAACAAGGCTGAAGGTGGGCGATCGATGGCCCCATTTAAGCTGGAGCCCTGCAAGCCACACGGGCTCAGGTAAAATCTGACGACCGGGGCTCGACGGGGTTGAAGATGGTAGGAATGTGTAGTGGGTCTCGGGATGCCATGATGGTTCGGTTTTCATTCGTGGGGATCGAGCAGTTGGTGAGCTAAGGGGAGGAGTCACCGGTGCACTTATGGACCCAGTGTGTATGTAGAGGTTGTTATGGTGAGGGGGTTTTGAAGAGGCAGAGGATGAAGATGCTGAAGAGAGGTTTTTTAGCCAAGGTATAAGAGAGTTCGCGTCGGGGACACCATTGATAGGATTGTTGGTGTTTTTGACGTAAGATGCTGGGCTATGGAGGGAAGAGGAGGCAGCACTAGGATTATACGAGGCATATGGGCTTGGTTGGTATGATGAGCATGGACTTGGTGAGGCTGAAGTTCCCGCTACATCCATGGGCTCTGCCGGCTTGCATCCCTGAAACATAAAAAGGTTCAAGTAATCATATTGCAGTAGTATTTAGTATTTTGATCAGGGTGTGAACAGTATAAATTCGATTAAGTACCGTTGTAGTATTTGTGAAAAGTTCAGAGATATCAAGCACTGCCATCAAGTTTGATCAAAGAAAACAAAATCATCCAGTGATACAGATAGCACTGTAATGTAACCTAAAGAACAAGACTATCAGTACCATAGTTGCATGGAATTCGGTTCGTTCCGATTCACGGAACGAGATCAAGAGTGTAGTACACAGTTTGGGTTCAGTTTTTAAATATAGGAATCTTGAGTGCCTTAATGTACATATTTATGCCATAGTCAAGTCAAGTTCAATTATCAGCAATGGTAAAAAAATTCTCAAGTTGCAATTATAGTAGCTTTTTGTTGTTTATTTTTTTGAAAATAATTGTTTTCCCCAGATTATTAACTAATTTGAATTCTAAATCACGTCACCGGGTACGCAACCCAATTCGCTAGTGACGAGTCCCAGGACATTTGGACCCGGTCGTAGTTCGCTACAGTGTCCCACGTTCATGACATCTATGGTAAGTACTCATTAAAATGACAGCAGGATCAATAGACCAATGAAAACGACCTCCCAATAAATCAATGGTTAAAGTGGATTAAAATGACAGCAGGATCAATAGACCAATGAAAACAACCTCCCAATGTATCAATGGTTAAAGTGGACCGTGGTGTTTGTTAACTATAAAACTATTAATAAGTCCATGATAAAACTGTGCACCGCTTGCCCTTGGTAACACTAGGTTTAAGTGGCATATAAGCATCTTTTCGAATTAGAGGCTAGATCTAGCAGCGTTTATCAATGCATAGTTTATCTGACAGCTTAAACATCTATATATGTTAGGGAACCTGCATTGATGGGCTCGGGCAAGGAATTAATTTTAATTCATAACACTCTCACATTAGCTAAACTATGCTCAAAGTCCCTTTCCTTGTGTGTCTCTACCAAGGCTCGCAAAACCTCTTTAAATAGGCCACAAGTCTTTCCCACCAAACTTAGGAAACTTGTCCACTAAACATTATAAAACTTACAATAATCTTTTTACTAAACTTGTCCACCAAGCTTTACCGAACTTGCACACCAAATATCGTAAATAGCCAGATATACTAACAACCTTTCTCTCTAGGCCAATTGCTAAGGAGATAACTACTACATCTACGTGCTATGCCACAAACACACAACTCACCTTCAGTTCTGTAGAAAATACCTCATACATTTGTTTGCTACACTACAAACAGACAATCTACCTCCTTTCTAAACCACAAAGAGAATACCATCGGCCACCTAGAAACACTAGCACCCAATTAAATACATGAGTGGTACTAACTTACCCTGATTCTCCCTCATGACAGTGAATGTAGACTTATATTTGTCATAGCCAATAGAATTCTTATGGGCATCATGAGTTACTGATGCAGCAGATTGGACCTGATCAAGATGTAAAATGTCTTCACCAAACAACATCGTTGTTACCAAGCCATCTAAGAATCAGGAAGTGAGATAAGAAGCAAAAGGGTTTTATCTTCTTCCTCCACCTTGGCATCATACTTTTGCAGTTGGTCAAAGCAAACTCGTAAACATATTAATGTGCTTCGTGAGATTATCCTATTCAGCCATCTTCAACTAGTAGAGTTGTTGTTTAAATGCAACCGAGTCAAACTTTTAGCTAGATAAAGTTTTTCCAACTTGTCCTACATCCCCAGAGTTGAACCTTCATTAATGACATTGTTCATCATATTATCAGCAATACAAAGTCAAATTGTGCTCACATACCTTAACTCGAGCTCTTCCTACTCGCTATCATTTGTCTTCCGTAGCTTTTTGTCCTTCCCCTTCAATGCTTTTGCCATGTCCTATTGAATCAGGACATCCTTCACCCTTCTCTGCCAAGTGGTAAAAGCTCATTGTTCCATTAAGCTTCTCTACAGTGAAATTGTTGACATTCGCCGTCATGTTTGCTCCTCAGATTTCAATGCGAACCACTAGCTTTGATACTGGTTATCTCCATAGCAATCAGGCTAAAGGGGAAGATTGTTGATAAGCAAGCTCTCTTGTGAGCCTTGGTGGGCAAGTCTAGCAAAGTCTTATGAACAAGTTTGATAAACACTTGATGGGCAAGTTTGGTAAAGCTTAACGGGCAAGCTTGCTAAGTTTGGTGGGCAAGACTTATGACCTATTTAAAAAGAGTTAAGAGCCTTGATAGAGATAAACACAAAAGGAAAAAATTTGAGCATAATTTAATGCTTGTAAGAGTGTTCTTTGAATACTTTGAAAGTGGATATATCCATACTTACGAGTTTGGGTTGGATAGTAATTCAACATAGCTACATGGTATGTAGTAAGTTGCGTGTCGTGGTATAAGTTTGGGTATGCAATTCGCCACAACTATTTTCAATTCAAGGGGGCTAGTTTCTTTAGTAAGCATGCTCAGTATGTGATACGTTGTAAATTTTTTGGTTGCACTTATCATTTTTCAAAATGTATAGTAGAAAAGCCAAAATTAAAAACTATTTATGAATTTTAATATTTTTTAATATAAAATACTTAATGCTTCTCTTTCAAAGTATTTGTATACATAAGACAAAAAAAATAAAATTTTGTGATTATCTGAAGCATGTATATTAACGATTAATCAATAGCTTTCATGTGCGTTTCAGTAGTTGATATTATCTATCTTAATCTAGACATCTTTTTCAGGAAAAATTGCTTCTAGCCCCAAAATAACAAGAATTATTCCTCCCCAGTCTCAAAGACTTTTTCAAAGCTCCAAAAACCCAAAAATCAAAACCCGAATTCATTTAGCCCCCAAACCTCGTTCCTGCGTGATCTAGGTTTTTAAAAAAAATCCTAAAAATGCCATTTGATTTAACTGCCTCCCACTCTCTCAATAGCTCTCATCGGCAAACGTGACTAGCTTTCTCATCTGTCCAAGAGCGAAACCGACTGTCCCCAAATTTAGACCTCAACTCTAAATCAGCCTACTCAGAACGAAATCGAAGCTATTTTCTTCTAATCTTGCCTTCCTACACCCCATAGCGGAATCATGGCAGACAAGTTAGCGCCCAAAGTAGTCGCCCCTGTAGAAGATTTTGAAGACGACGACAACTCACAGTATGTCGTTGCAAGAAGACGCCTGAACACGGAGTCGATTGATGCTGGCACAACAATAGCAGATGTTCTAGAGAACCTCGCGGTTAGTCATCCTCTTCCCACAAGCCAAGTTCAACGTACGGATCTAGAGGGCAGCATCGACGATGCCTCGAAAGCACTCCTAGATCTAAAGAACGGAACGAACATGAGCAATTTGGAAGGCATGCATATATCAACCAAAAAGAAGAGTTTACTGCATAATTTAGTTGTTTATAATATTGCATGGTGTTTGACAGTCGTTTGTTACCAAGTTACTTTATCTAATTTTGAAGAATATGTGTTAATTGTGAAGATCACTGTTAAGTTGTGAAGATTACTATTAAGTTCTGAAGATTAGCTTTTACTTGTCAAGGATATTCATTAATTGTTAAGGTTAAATGTTAGTTATTAAGGTTATAAATTAATTGTGAAGGTTACTGCTAACTTGTGATTTGTTAGTTGTTAAGGTTAAACGTTAGTTGTAAATGTGGAAAGACTTTCTCTGGTGGAGGGGCTTTTCTCTCAATCTCCATGTTAGTCATGTCAGGTGGAATATCTGTTTTCAATAGAGTGCATAAGACAAAAAACAAGGGATAAGATTTTCATGTCAGCCATGTTTAGCTTTGTTGTTAATGTTAAACATTGGTTGTGAAGTTTATAGTTTTTTTGTTAAGGTTATAGTTTTGTTCTTAAGTATATGGATTCGTTGTTAATGTTATATATTGGTTATGAAGCTTACGGTTTTTTTGTTAATGTTATAGTTTTATTGTTAAGCATATGGATTGGTTGTAATGGTTAAAGGTTGGTTATTTAGCTTAAATTTTTTTATTAATTACAGTTTGAAAATCTTAAGTTATCCCTTACTTTTTGTCTCAGACACTCCATTCAAGACAGGCACTTCACCTGACATGGCTGATATAGAGATTGAGAAGGAAGTCCTTCCACCAGAGGAAGTCCCTCCACCTTAACAACTAATGCTTCTAACAAGTCACAAATTAACATTAACATTCACAACTAATTCATAACATTAACGACTAATAAATATCCTTAACAACTAAAAGCTAAGCTTCACAACTTAATAGTAATTTTCATAATTAAAACATATCCTTCTAAATTAGACAAGTAACTTAGCAACAAATGACTGCCAAACACTATACAACATCATAAATAACTAAATTATGTAGTAAACTCACTTCTTTTTTGATGACATATGCATGCCTTCCAAATTGCTCCTATTTGTTCCTTTCTTTAGACCTAGGAGCGCTTTCGGGACGTCGTCGGTGCTGCCCTCTAGATTCGTACATTGAATTGGGCTTGTAGGAGGAGGATGATTACGAGGTCATCTAGAATATCCGCTATTGTTGTGCCAGCATCAACCGACTCTGTGCTTAGGCGTCTTCTTGGGACGGCATATTATGAGCCGTCGTCATCTTCGAAGTCTTCTATAGGGGCGACTACTTTGGGCGCTATCTTGTCTGCTATGATTCCGTTATGGGGTCTAGAGAGGCAAATTTAGAAGAAAATAGCTTCGATTCTGCTATGGGTAAGCTGATTTAGGGTTAGGGTCTCAATTTGAGGATAGTCGGTTTCGCTCTTGGACAGATGAGAGAGCTAGACACGCTCGCTGAGGAGAGCTATTGAGAGAGTAGGAGGCGGTTAAATCAAAGGGTACTTTTGTAAACCTGGATCACGTGGGATTGAGGTTTATGGGCTAAATGAATTCGGTTTTGATTTATGGGGTTTTTGGAGCTTTAAAAAAGTCTTTGAGGGGGGGAGGAATAACTCTTGTTATTTTGGGGGCTAGAAGCAATTTTCACTTTTTTTATGTGAAAACTATATAAATATGTTCCTTCATATTTGTTTGTTTATTATGTATGCAATGGGCGTCTCGTTTTACTCGGGTGCACACATCGCATTGCGCCTTGCATAGCGTGCGTAAATAATTTTGCATTCCACATGCTTGTAAGTGGCAGACTAATTTTTTTTGGGAACCAATTCATGTACCATAGGAAAATCAAATTGCAAATGTATTGGGAATCGATTTGTAGTAACCATATGACAGTTCAAGGGGTTCCGGAGCGTTACGCAACTATGGATTCAATTGTAATATAGTGACCTCTATGGCATATCTACAAACATCTACAGTGTGGGGCCAACAAATCCATCTTGAATCACAACCAG